CTTTTGTAAGGAAAGCTGCAGCTGACCACGTTGGGGGATGTGGACAGACGACAGAGGAGAGAGACCTGTTTTCTGTGTTGTTTGTTTGAATGTATTAAGGGGTGGCTCCTAAAAGACATCAGAGAAAACTTTAACCATTAAAGTGAATTTTAGTCTCATTGATTGCATCTTCCATTTGGTTTATTTGGTATCTAAAACGCTATTTTAGTTACCATAATGGCATTTGGTAAAATGAGACATCTGTTCCTTAAAAAGCTTAAAAAACTAGGGATAGAAGCAGAGTTGTTTGACATCACAAAGCATACGCGTCTTAAGGCAGCAGGTCGTTCCAGTTAAACTCAGCGACCGAGCAAGGCTGTTGATCATTGCCATAATCATAATTTTTATTGTGTTTTAGTGGTTTTTCCACCCTGGGCACTATGCTTGGCTCTTTACATATATTGTCTCTAATTTTTAAAATGACCCTTCAAAGCAGGTCATTATGACATTTTGACTTAGAGTGGCCCCCTCCCTCTTCTTGCCAAGAAGTGTTGGAGTCGCGATTTGAAACCAGGTATGTTTGACTGCCAAGCTCCATGGTCTTTCCGTTACCCAATTGTAGGTCATTATTACTGAATATTGTTTTCGAAGTTCTGGCCAATGAAATAAGACATGAAAAAGAAATTAAACGTTTAACTATTTGAAATGAGAAAATAGTATTGTTATTTGTAGTCCATAGGATTTGTAAACTTAGAAAATTCAGAAGAATTAATGAAAAATTGTTAGAACAAATAAAAAATTTGGTGAAATGTCAGGACACACGATAATGGACCTAGAAACTCTTTAACCGGGCACGCAAAGTTTACACAGAACAGCGAGGGGGGGAGGGCAAGACCTACCTTAACTGCTGGTCACATCAGTTGATAGCACTTATGACAGAGTTATTGCAACACAATTGTCTTCATAGCGACTAACCAGTCAGAAAACAATGTCACAATATCACATCATTGTAACAACACAAAGCACCTAGAAATAAGCTGAATGAGAAACTTTGGGGACCTATATGATGAAAATGAAAACCTTTATTGAGCTAAAGAGGACTTTTGAGTAAATTATAAGCATATGTCAGTTCTTGGGTGAAAATTCTAAATATTTCAAAAATGTTACTTTTCCCCAAAATTAACTTGTAGGTTCAAGATAATACAATTAATTCCCAATGGAGGTTAAATTTTGTATCTTAATCAAATTATTCTAAAATTTAAATGGAAGAATAAGCCAGAAAGAAGAACAAAGATAATTCTTAAAGCTAGGAGTAGTGAGAGAAACTTTCATCACTAATTATGTTCCAGTGGCGTGATACCAGAGCAAGTATAGATAACCAGATAATTGACAAAGAAATTGATATTCTAGAAACAGACTCCTTTTTATGTATGAATAGAAGATAGGATAGAGGGAGCATCAAAAAATCTTTACAAGGGTCTGTCCCCATGGCCTATAGTGGTTCAGTTTGGTGCTCTCTGCTTCAGCAGTCCTGGTTCGGTTCTCCAGTGTGGACCTACCCCACTCATTGGTGCCCATGCTGTGGCAGTGACCCCTATACAAAATAGAGGAAGATTAGCAAAAAATAGAGGAAAATGTTAGCTCAGGGTGAATCTTCCTCAGCAAAAAAACAAAAACAGAACAAACAACTTTATGATGAAAAAGAAGGACTCCTGAATGAATGAGGTTGGGGCAATTGATCTTTAATTCTGCTATGGACTGAATTATGTCTCCCCAAAATTCCTGCATTGAAGCCCTAACCCCAAATGTGACTGTATTTGGAGATGAGGCCTTTACAGGAGTAATTAAGGTGAAATGGGGTCATAAGAGTGGTGCCCTAGGATTGGTGGCCTTATAAGAAGAGAAAATGTGAGCACATGGAGAGAAGGCAGCTGTCTGTGAGCCAGGAAGAGGCTTCCTGCCAGGATCTGAGTGGGCTGGCACCTCCATGCTGGATTTCCCAGACCCAAAACTGAGAGAAAATAAATTCCTGTTGTGTAAGCCACCCACTGTGTGGTATTTTGTTATGGCAGCCTGAGCTGACCAATACATCTTCTTAAAATTCCACCTCTTAAAGCTTTCTCTAGTATTAAAAAATCCTTCAACCTGAGAAGCAAGCAACAGATTGGAAAAATATTGGAAAGCTATTCAGAAAATATCACAAAGCTCTCTTGTCTTTATTATAAAAGGATATCGGTCAAATAGATGAGAAGGAGGCTCTGAATCTCGGCAGAGAAACGGGCACAAGGTGTACAAATGCAGTTTGCAAAAGAAGAAATAGAACTGAGATGGGACAAGCCTTCTTAAGGGGCACTTCCTGTCGCCACTGCAGGTGGTGAACCACGTCTTTCTGTCGTTGCTTGTGACCCATATGAGCCTCTCATTTTCACACTATGTTGATTTATTTGCATATAAGTCTCACTTGTCCCCTCCCCTTGTCCCATAGTGCACTGGCTTTGTGACACAGGCAGGTCACATGTAAAGACTGTGGCTCTCTCAGCGTATCCGCCATGTCACCCACATGAAGTGTGCAACTTCTCCATGGTAGAAGCTGCTAGTGTCCACCTGTCATCTGGCACCCAGCTCAGAGAGCCCCAGGATGTGCCTGGTGGGGTCTGGTGGAGGCAGGCTGGTTGTGGGCCTGCCTCACAAAGCTGGCCCTTTCTCTGGGCGGACGACACTTAACCACGGGGAACAGCCAGGGGAGCAGCATCAGACGTGACATCAAGACTGGCTTGCCCCAGCCTGGCCCCGGGTCGACTCTCAGCACCTGTGCAAAGTCACTTCATCCCTTTCTCCTTACATCCCTCCTCCATCCATGTGAGCAAGGGACCAGACTTTCGTTGTTCCCCAACCCTTGCCCCGTAGCCAAGGTGCTATGCAGCTTTAACTTCTGTAACTTGTATTACAGAAACAATTGATATTTTGGGGTTCCCAAAATAAAGTTGAACAAATATCGTTTTTCCCTGACTACGCATTGCCTTCCATTTGTCACTTCCTTCTTCCCATGTCCCTGCTCTGAGCAGGAGGGAATTGGGACAGGGGAAGGCAGGGACCTTTCGAGGTTTGCAGACTGTGACTGAGATCTCTTCCAGCCTGACATTTCCTCATCTCGAAGGAGGGAGGGGGCTGTTGGCTTTCAAATGCTTAAACTAGTGTCGCGTGGAACATTAGCTGTGCAGAGAGTAAATTTTAACAGTTTCCACGATTAGAGCCCTTTATGATATGCTGGGTTGACCAAAGTTAGACAAACTTCCTCATTTGGGGCTGCTCAGTATGTCGTTAGTGGACATTGGGATCTCCAAGAGAGGGGCTGAGTGTGTGGTTTTTCCCTAACTTGTTAGACTACGGGACGCTTTTCTTGGAAAACCTTCAGGGCCTGTTGCTCTCTGGGGCTCATTTTGGCAGGTGGTGACTTCTGTTGCCATCCATGTTTGCGCTAGCCATGATCCACCCTTTGTTTTGGGACTTAATGTACTTGACATGCGTTAGCCTTCATTTCAGAAAAAAAATACAGATGTCTTATCAGACGCAGGCAGATGATAAGGTCCTGAGGTCATCACTGTTAATACGGTCTCGTGGTCACAAATGCAGCACAGTAATTGTCTAAAGGGAGAGCATTACTTTAAGAAAGGGATTTTTTCTTGAGTCCTTTTTAATGCGTATCTTGGATAAAAACAGAAACTGTAGAAGCTCTCAAATTTTTGTGAAGATAGTGGAGTAGCTAAATTAAGATTTTGTTTATTATTGTAAAATTCTTCAAAAATTTGAGTGGAATAGTTCAAGTTGGCCTTAGAATGTGTTTATTAAACACACTGTCTTTGGATGTAACTGTGGGGCAGCTGTCAGATGCTGCGTGGTTTCTGGAAGGAGGCAGAGAGCAGAAACCTGCACCATCTGAGCGCCACCGACATCCCTGGGCATTTGTTCCCGATTCCCGTATTTACCCCAAACTGTCTTTTTGAAATATGTCTTTGTGGACTGTTGCTTTGCCTTCGGCCCTGGGGAAAAGTGGCGCTGAGAAAGGCGAGCTCTGTGCAAGTCTTTCCCCAAGAACAATAAACAGAATCGTGGAGGCCACTCCAGTACTGATCTTGCCATTTGATGGTCTGAGGACAGGGTGTCCAAGGTCAGGAACCCCCACAAAGTGGGAAGGAGAAACTCAGTACCTGTGTACTTTCTTTGACGTTAGGGATGTGTAACATTGCCTTTACAAGCTTCCAAACATGTCTAGCTCATAAGGAATAATATACGTGATAATGATGCCCAGGAAAGATACTCCTGTCTAGTAACAGACCTTCTTATTCTTTAAATTAGTGTTTGTTCCTGGAAAGGCCTGGCCGTGGAGAGCCAGGGCACTTTGGACTGGAGCCCACACTGGCTCCCTGTGAGGCCTGGGTTGATGCCTTTAAGGCCCCTGGACCTCACTGAGCTCATCATGAATGGAGTGGCCACACAGGGCTCTGTATGCAGGGTGCTCAGGGCAAATTTAGGGGGGGAGCGGCCTTTCTGCTTGAACACAAATGCCCAGGATGAGCGCAGAGCATCGGCGGCCCCTGCTGCAGGGGATTGACTCTCCTGACTCTAACTGGGTTTTCTCCGTGTGGGTACCAGCAGTGGGGACCAGCAGTGGCTCTTTCCCTCAGGCTTTAGCCATGTGCCTGGATTCCTGGACATCGTACCTGCCTGCAGGTGACCAGGAGACGGGAGTCCCTTCTGAAAGCTGCTAAGCTATACTGTTTTTTACCCTCTAAACTAAATATGGGTGCACTGCCCAGGGGTATCCTGTTCCAGAGGAGAAAGGCAGAGCCCAGAGGGGAAGGGCTCACCTGAGTCAGGTAGTGACAATGGCAGGGCAGCCCCGGGACACAGGTCCTTGGGCTCTCCTCCCAGGAAGTGCCCTCAGTACCATTGGACAATTTTCTTGCTTGTTCCTGGCATTTCTGGCATTGACAGAACCTCTTGTCTTTGCTGAATTCCAGAGATGGCTTCAGACATCCCCGGATCAGTGGCATTGCCCGTCGCCCCCATGGCGGCCAGTGGCCAGGTGAGGATGGCTGGGGCCATGCCTGCCCGTGGAGGAAAGCGGCGTTCCGGGTAAGCGACCTCGGCGTTTCCAGGAATTGGGCCTAATACATGTTGAGCAACAACACTCTTGACCTGTTAGGAAAATATCGTCCCTCCTCCTCCTGGAGAATAAAGCTCAGCAGTTTGCATCCTGTTTAGAATTTGCAAGATGCCTAACTATGCATGTGATTTGCCTCTAAGTGTTTCAGGCCTCGGCACCCAGCTGGGGACTTCTGTTTGCTTGTCCTCGTGGTGGGAACACGCTCTGTGATCCTGCTGGGCCGCGCTTGGGCCTGTCTCCGGGGGAGGGGAGGGCGGGGCTCACCATCCCCAGCCTGGGCTCTGATTGCACCCCACCCACAACACCGCCCTTTCTTAGGGCTGCCCGGCTTTGTTGGGCCATGTGCAGGAATTCCTTTCAAAGGATAGGCTCTAGCCCAGTGCCTAAAGGCTGGGCAGCCTGCATTGTTTGCTGCCCCACGAGGAAAGTTATTATAGTGATAAGTTCTGGTGGGACCAGAAAGACCGTCGCTCTTGAGCTGATGGAACCAAAAACCGCATCTCCTCATGATGCATAGTGTCGGTAGCCATGCGTAGACCCGAAAAACCAACCATCCAAGAAAAATTCCCATAGGAAAAACATCACTGACGTTCTCAGACTCAGTGTATCACCCAACCCCTTTCCCCCATTGAACCAATTTTATTTTCAATGAAATAGTTGATAAAGTTTCTCATGGAGTAGAATCAATTTGTCCTATTAATGTGATTTCTGATAGCACAGGGCTCCCCTGGGACACGGGTATCCATTGATGGCGGAACACGCTTCTCATAGCCCCAGGCCTGCAGGGCAGGCGTGGGTGCAAGTGGTCCAGCGTCAGAACCTGAGACTTTCTCTCAACCAGTGTGATTCTTCAAGGGGGTGGGGGTGGGGGGCAGGTACACTTCAGGAACTGGAATGGAGTGTGGGTAGGATGAAAAAGTGTATTCAGCATTATAATTTTAGATTGTAGAAAGACTGTCGTGTGTGTAGTGCAGTCTTTAAAGGAGGAGCAAAGAGTTTGACAATTATTGAGAGAGTTAAAAAGGCTGAGAGGGGCCGGCCCCATGGCAAGTTCGTGGTTAAGTTCGCACACTCTGCTTTGGCAGCCTGGCATTTGCAGGTTCAGATCCTGGGCGCAGACCTACACGCCACTCGTCAGCCATGCTGTGGCAGTGTCCCACACACAAAGTAGAGAAAGATTGGCACAGCTGCTCAGGGACAATCTTCCTTAAGCAAAAAGAGGAAGATTGGCAACAGATCATTGTTGCCACTCTTCCTGACCAAAAAAAAAGGAAAAAAGAAAAAAAAAGGCTGAGAAACTGAACTCACTGATTACGCCAGTTTTCCCTTGATTCAGTGCACTCACTCCCAAGGCACGGATGCAACCACTTCTCCATCACAACTGCCATCATCTTTACAGCGGGACCAGCAGAGCTGTTGGAACAGAGTTGGTGCCTGGGGCAAAATGCCTCAGAACAACTTTGTAATAAAGATGCAGCCGGCTTCTGGGGCTTATTGCAAACACAGCCCTCTTATTTTAACCGCTATTCTTGCTAACCAGCCACTACGCTCAGTGGAGTCTGGGTTGCTAAAGGAACGCATTGCTGTCAACATATCAACCTACTGATTTTTTTTAAAAAGGATTCCCGGGCTTTTAAAATTATTTTAAATGTTTGTGCTCTCTGCCTTCCATTCCCGGGGCACAGAGCCCCATCGCTTGCCTCGTCCTTTCTGAAAAGAGGCCAGCACAGGACTCTGATGGGGAGGTGGGCTGCACACAGGCACAAATGCTCAGGCCCAGCCCAGCATTTGCAGGCAAGAAGCCCTCTCTGTGCTGGGAGTTCTCGAGGACTCTGCTGCGTGTGGGCCTGTGCTCTGCTCAGAGCTGGGCTGTGTGAACTGGGCTTCCTTCCTCCTTGGCCTCCATGCTCCTGGCCCTAGCCCAGTGTCCAGACCATGCCCGCCGCTTGCTCTCCCAGCTGATGGCTGGCCCCTGGGCTCCGGCTCCTTCTGCAGCCCTTCAGGCTGCCCCTGTTCCTGTCAATCACACATGGCACGGCCCTGGAGGCAGACAGGGACCGCAGCTGGCTGAGAGGGCCCAGACTTCAGCTCCACGCAGAGCCAAGGAAGCAAAACATCAAAAAAGGAAGCAAGAGAGGAAGGAGGATGAAGACTGCGGGCGGGAGCACTGCCTCCCCTAAAGGCTGGTCCTCCGTTGTCCTCGTTCTTGGAGCCCCTGTGCCTGCTTCCTGTTCCCCGTGCGAGGGAGGGAGCAAACATGCACGGTTCCTTCCACCGACCTCAGGATCCATCCTCGGTGTCTAAGCAGGGAAACCTCTATATCTACAGGTGTCAATGCAAACAATCCATAATCAATCTATAAATCAAAACTGGGGTGAGTTTATTATGATCCAGGACTGAGGACTAGCCCGGGGCCTGCCTTCCCCACGGAAGGAAGGGCACCGAAGAAGTGGGGTGTCCAGAGTGGTTATGTACCATCTTGGAACAAAGAGCAGACATCACACGTGACAGGAATGTCCCTTTTACAATAGTCATGAGATGCTTAGTTAGCACAGCAGGTCAGTGGTCACAAGGTGAGCACAGCAGGTTGGTAATTAATCCTCAGTTTCCAGGAAAAGATGCTTGTCCTTAGAGAAATGCTGATATGGGGGAAGCCACATCCCTCTCTCTAAGGGCATCATTCTTGGCTTTGGGACATTGTGAATGCTTAAAGAAGATGTACAATGCACGCTCAGCACACCACACCAGGCCCTTGTGGAAAAACAAGGTCAGGAAGAATTAGTTTTAACCCAAACGGCTTCCTCATATCCTCTGATATATCCTATTGCTTTGCATTCGTTTATCACAGGGCTGTCTCCATAGTAATTCTTGCATCTGGCATTTTTACATGTTTTGCTAAAATTCTGTGACTGAGGCCACCGCTGTGCTGGACTCTCTTGACAGCACCCCTCTGACCACAGCCCAAACACTTAGCTAAGCACGAAGAAGACCCTGATGCAGTCACCCTCATGAAGAAGCAGGTGACCCCATGGCAGGGCCCCGCACTGGACCAGGGGTGTCATCCTTGCTCTCCCCATCACTGGCAGTGTCGTTCCACCTCCTTCTGTCCGAGAGTAGTGGGGCACAGTCGGAGAGACACAGGGAGGGAGGGAGAGAAGAGAGAAGGGGTTGGGGTGGTGGGAGAGGGGAAACGGCAAGAGTCAAGGACCTTCTTGGCGCCCCCTGTTCCTTGCCCAGGTCTTCCCTCCCTGACCTGGTTATTCTGGTGGAGGGAAGTGTCCCAGATTCCCAGGGTCACCACCCACCCCGCCCTAGTGTTTCGAAGCCAAGTAGGACTGACCCCTCTCGGGTTTTGGATCCTGTGGCCGCGTGCCTGGCCCAGCCACTGTTGATCTTTCGGGCAGCACGTTCTTCCACTTCCCTGACCGCCGTCCCCAGGAAGCCTCTCAACCAGCTGCGAGCGCTGCTGGTGGTTGGGACACAAGGTGAAGGTTCAGGAGTTTCAGATTCTTCGGAAAGTGATTCCGCATGTGGGAGGAATGAGCCGAAGTGAGTCACCTGAACCGCGTTTCCGTGGAGACCACCCCGATGGGGTGGCAAGGGGTGGGGGGCTTCCACAGGGTGCACTCAGGGGTTCTAAAGTTGGGGGTAGCAGCACAATGAGACAGGCTCTGTGCCCACCCCCAAAGCCAGCCCTTTGGGGATGGAGGTTGGACGTTGAGGGCAGAGATGGACCAGTCCCTTCCCAGTGCCTTGGAGGCAAATAAGATATCATCATTGAGGAAAACGACTTCCCAATTGTATGCCGCCATAGGCCAGCGTCTCCCTCTGACAGTGTGGTGAAATGAAGGTGTACGACCACAAGCGGGCGTTGCACATGCTAGCATTTACACACTACCATGGCTGTGGCCTCGGCCGGCCGGATGGTCCAGACTCGGAAGGAAGACCAACTGCCGGCACCCAGCTCACTCACTTCTTGTTAGCGAAGCTGCAGGCCGGCCCATGGTGGCTCCTGCCGCCCCAGGACCAGCCCTGCTGACTCGGCCTTTCATCTTTTCTCAGAAGAGCGTGAGTGAATTCCGCTTGGTGACTCACATTCAATGAAGCGTTGTTGTGATTACACAATCACTGTTAGGGAGAGTCATATCACTCTGAGCTAGTGCAAGCTCAGAAATGCCTTTCTCGGCTTTCTATCCAGGTAAGACCTCGTGCTCGTTGACAGGAAAGTGAGGTAAAGTACATTTTCAGCCCACCTTTTGAAGACTCTTACACCATCCACTTATTGTACCGAATTCTTTAAAGTGAATGCAATAGGACTTAAAAGTCATACTCTGATCTCTCTCCTTTGGTATCCAGATGCTCCAGTATAATAGAGACACATAAAAGATGTAAAACAAAGGATGCTTTACCTGGGGTGTTTATCGCAGGAGCCGTAAGCGTAGCTATTACAGTCAGATTTAAAGTAGAGAATTGACCTGGTGACAGAGACCCCTAGGCAGGTCCTGGCAAGGCTGCTCTGAAGGACCTTGTGTCCTCAGGAGGTGTGTTTTTCTCTGTTGCTGGTGAGCAGGGAGGGTTTTGGGGTTGGGTGAATTATCCTGAGGATTCGAACAATCGTTTCTATCCCGGTTTTTCTCCTCGGTTCACCCCCTTCCCACTTCATGCTTTTCCAAGTTACTAAATCTGGTTGCTGCCACGCGTGACCACACACCTTCGAAGGTAGGGAGGCAGTTGCATGGTCCCTAATTTTTCACAGACAAATCCAGGTCCTCAGGTTCCCAGCTGAATTCAGGAAACCCTGGCACCAGAGCAGGGCTGTCCCTTATACCCTCTGCTCGACCGGGCTCACCTGGCCCAAGCAAGGACCACTTACCGTGTGGCTGACATTCCCACTTGTCTGCTCCACGAGGGTCTTGGGTAAAGAACAGATCTGTCCTTATGAAAACTAGGGTGACCAACCATTTTGGTTCGCCTGGGACTTTTCCAGTTTTAGCACTGAAGTCCTGGTTTCCAGAAATCCCCACAGTCCGGGAAAATCAGGATGATCAGTCACCCTAAAAACCCCAAAGATTGTGCAGGCTGAGGACGGAGGGCTGACTAATAAATTACTTCTTGCAGGAGCCAGATTATCACGTTCATATCAACTTGGGCTAAAAGGCATTTTAAAGATAACTGTGCCTCTCACACCCACTTGAGGTTTTGCTAAATGCTTGCATAAATCCATCGGAATTTTGGAAATGCGATTTCTTTTTCTTAACACTGAGATGTTTTTGACAGCCCAGGAGTGTTAAGTCACGCGATGCCAACAGCACAGTTGCTGTTTCCTGTGATGAACGCTGGGTGGCGGTGTGGTTCTGCGGCTCTGCAGAACGCCCAGCCGGGATGGTAGGGGTATTTCTGGAGGTATCTCCCAGATGTGATTTTTGGGAAAGGTGAGGTGACGGCTTACTGATTACACAGAACATTGATGGCTTTTCTGCATTTAGAAAGTCATGCATTCGGCCCCCATTTTCCCGCCACATGGACGACTCTGCAGCTGCTGCCTGGTGCCAGGTTGCCCAGAGTGCACCGTGGGGCTGCCTGTCTGTGTCTCCTGGTGGCATGTCTGTATCTGTTAACTCCACTTTCCCTTTCTTATCGCCTTTCTCCCCACCCTCCCCCTTCTCTCTGTGCATAGGTATTTCCGTTATCATGACCGTCATCTACCCCCATATTATCTAACTCCTTTTGTTCTTCTGTTCCCAGCAGCTAGTGCAGCCCTGTGTCTGGAAATCAGGCATTCAGAGTTAGCAGTGGATCCCACAGGTCGTCCCAAACAGACGGATGCCCAGATTAGAACTCTGGCTGCTCGGCACATAAAACAAAACAGAAGCAAACAAATGACACCGCTTTCTAAAAGAAAATGCTCCCTTGCACTATCTCGTCCCAGTCCCAAGGCCCCCAGGTTACCCAGACGCCCAGAGAATGTGGCTTATCTCCCCAGGGGTCTCTCGGATGTGCTCCTGCAGGAACAGCTATTCCTATGCCCCTCCAGGCCATCTCCTGGTCCAGGTTCTGTGCCTTCCCCGGGTCTCCCGTTACCCACTGAGCCCCACCCTCAGAGCCGGGGCTGGAGACCACGTTCCCGGTGAGGCCAGCAGCTCTGGCGTCTGTTACTTGGTCTCTCAGTGACACTCCGTTCTTGTGTCGAGCTGCTCCGACCCGGGGACTCCTCAGTACTGGCTGCCGGGCAGGCTGGCCTGCCATCTGCTTGGAGTCCGTGGGAACTGTGCCTCACTTCATCCATCCATCCCACTAAGAACAGGATGGGGAATGCAGCGGCTCTGACACAGTCTCCCCAAGGAAGCCCGCTCCCCCTAAATGTGCAGGAGAGCCAAGACAGCTGTGCTGTCTCTCATTTTGCTCCCGAAGACTCTGGGTGCACTTTGTGCTGATCAAGGACCCCCTCTGCCCTCAGGTCTTCAGGGATGACGTTAATTGACATCACAGGATTGGTTCTTTGAGAGTTTGGGATGTTAAACCAATATCTATCACGACTTTTTGTGTTATGTTTACACTGAGAGGCCCAGTGAAGTGGGGATCTGTGTTTATTTGGTGAGTTTTGACAACAAGCGGACGGCCACTTGCAGCAGCTTAGGCTCCAAGCAATTGTTTCTCCCTCCACATCCATTTATTTAGGCCTGGACTTTATAGGATAATGGCCTTAAATGCCCTTTTCACTTTGACTCATATAGACCAGCGAAGTTCTCACATAACACAACCAGTAGTGTCTTCTTTTCCTCAAAATCCCTTTATCACCCTTAAAACTTCCTGTTTTCAAAACCCGTTGAGCTTTTTTAGTCTAAGATACCACAAAATACAGTTAAAAAGGAAGTCTCGATGTGGAATAAACAATGTGGAGGGGAGCGGGTGTCCCCAAAGATGGAGGAGACAGGCATACTGGCCTTCCCGACGCAACCTGAGCAATCCATCGGCAGCCTGTCCGGGGCTCCAGGGGGACAAGCTCAGCCTCCAGCACTTTGACAAGTTCCCAATCATATAATCAATGATGCTCCTACTGTAAGCTTTCATTTTGCCTTTTCTCATCCCAAACCTGTTTGATGACTGTCGAGATACCGTTTTTTGCACTGCCAAGGGTTGGGACCATTGGGCAGCAATCTGACCAAATAAAGCCCCCTCTATGCCAACAGCTCGTGTCCCTGGTTAAGTGTTCTGCCTATAATGAACGCTCACTTGTCGTCTTGACTTTTCAGAATGGACTTTGATGATGAAGATGGTGAGGGTCCCAGCAAATTTTCGAGGTGAGTTTACTTTATGTTCTTCAAATTTGAAGAAATCGATAGCCAACCATCCCTTTATTGGAATGCACAGGGCTTTAAATGTCTTTTGTCATTGAAAAAGCCATTGCTATAGTGTGACCCCCTTATTGTCCTTCCTTCTGTGCAGGTGTTTGGCCCAGTGACAGGTAGCTGTGAGCAGCCCTGCCATATCCCAGCCTAGACGATCAAAAGTTATTAACTCTCTCGGCTTTTTAATTAAACAGTGATTGCCAATTTTAATGCACCTCTTTCAAAAAGACAGCCCTAGGGTTCAGGTTTAGAAAAAATAATCAAGATAAGGCCTCTTTTTCTACCATGGGAAATAAGGAAAAATATAAGAAACCTGAGTGGGTCAGCTCTGGATGCAGAGTATAAAACTGGACTTTGAGTTCCTAAGACCTGTGTCGCTCACTGGCCATGTGACAGCATCTTTAACTGGGCTCTGTGGGGCTCCCCTGAGTACAGACCACCTCACAAAAAGGATATAGGATCGTGGGGGCCAGTGGTGCTATATATATTATGTACTTGAGGGATAAGGCAGGCCCTACCCATGGCTCTTTATTTATTTTTTTTTTCAGTTTGGTTTGGTTTAAGTTATAGTAGGAAGTTGGGCAATGTTGAGAGAAAGTCACAAATCATTCCATCACTCTTAGCAAAATGCCCCGGTGAGCTCAGTTGACTTATGGAAGGGCCCGCCTTGACATTCCTCCCCATCATCCAGGCATTCCCAATTCTCGGTCGTCGATGAACTTGAAGACCTGCCACAGGTGACAGGTACCTTTCTCCGGTATCCACAGTCCACAGTTTGGATTGACAGCCTCAGTTATTTTCAAAGTTTCTAGAAGAACCACATCTATATTGAGCCCCGGGCCCACTGGCACCCCCATCTGCGCATCCCCACAACAGTTATTTTTGGTCCTGTTGTGGTTGTGAATTGAGCACACTTTCCCCTAAATCCAAGAGGAACGTGCATCTGGTTCCTAGTCCAGAGCTCCCCAGAGTCTCCAGGTCCACAGCTTGTCATTTGACGCACTGTCTGTCTGAGGACTTGTCCTTGCGCCTCCCGCTTCAGCTTCAGCTGAGGTGGCGGAGCGGAGGTGGAGATATTTTCATCTCTCATGACCCTGGATTTCCTGATCAAAACAAGAAAGGAGTTTCAACAACAGAGGGTTTATTGTTCTTTTCCTTGGTGCACACGGAACCCCACCTTGGGCGTTCACCACTTGCTTAGGGTAAGTGTTGATAGCGGGGAGCACTTTGTTCCTGAAATGGAGCTGGTCTGGGAAATAAGGGCACGGGTCTCCCTGTCCTAGTCTGCTCTTGCCTCCCACCACCTCCTTTTATAAGGAAACGGTGACTTTTGATTTCTCTGGATCAGAACTCTCCTTGAGATAACATTCCGTACCACGTTGACCTCAGGAAATGACGCTTCCTGGGGTCTCAGAACCAAAAGAGGAAGAGAGATGAGGAGTGACATTTGTTCCACATTGAAGATCAGCGTCAGTGATGAAATAACAGTGTGGGGTTACAGAAAGCTCATTGTGTTAGGTCCCATCATTAAGACACAGAAACCCTAGACTCTGGCAGCTATCTCATAAGCCGGTCCGTGAGTCAGCCTTTGCACACAGAGTTCAGACCCAGGTTTCTCTGACTGTACTTTTCCCCACACGTTGAAAACAAGAGAGAGAGGACGTGCCTCCACATATGCTGGTCCTTATAGGGTTGAGTTCGTAGGAGCCCAGGGCCACTTACTCTATGACAGTAGGGTTGTTGACGGACCTTCTGCTGGTGGGTGCATCTGAGCTGCTCACAGCTGGGGAGACGACTGAGTCTGCCCTTGGCTTGTCCACTTTGCTGGTGGCTGGCTGCTGTCCAGGGGAGGGGCTCGGAGTCTCTTCACACTGTCTCCGGCCAGTGGTGTGCATGGTCCACCTTGGGGCTGCTTCTGTTTCCTGCTGCTCTGCTCATGGTCAGCCCAGAGAAGCCCCCGGGGGAGGCCCTGGAAGGGAGGGCGGCTGAGGCGCGGCCCAGCACCCAGCGTGGTTTGTAGACTCAGAACCTGGCCCAGGGGCTGTGCCATGGTTTCTGTGCTCCTGTGTTTGTTCAACCAGCTTTCCTTGAGGGTGGTCCCAAATCCAAATGTCCTGCCTGTCGTCACACCTCATGTCTCAGCTTTCCATCTGGGAAACATGGTCACCATCACCTGAGAGGCAAATCATGGCCAGTTTGGCTTGGTTCCTGCCTTATCATGGCAGGCCTCAGACAGAACAATGTAGCGAACGTGGAGCTGCTCACTGCCGCCTGATCACACGTGTGCATGCACATACGTGTGTGAACTCACACACGTGCACATGTGTGCACACACAAACACCTGGGCTGCTCTAGGGGCTGTGACGCATAGGACATGGCTCTCAGGACACTGGACGTTTCTCTTCTCTCACACAAAGCCACTGTCAGCCTGGGGGGCAGAGGGGCAGTGGCTGAGGGTTGACCAGGAGACAAGTGGGGACGACTCTGTGTGCAGCTTGGATGTGGATAAAAAGGGATGAAGGCCTTTGGTGCTCAGGGAAGGAGTCCATTTGAAGGATGGGAAGAATGTAAGCACATCCATGAGGGGAGGGAAAGAGTGAGTCTAGCCAGAGATTTGGGAGACTCTGAAGTGGTGGGGCGAGGTGGGTGCAGGAGAGTGGGGAAGGGGAGGGACAGATCCAAGCCCAGCAGGCGGGCCGCCCGTTCTCGGAGGCGGACGAGAGGAGCTGCAGAGGTGGCTAAGTGTGCAGCTGCAGGCGGGGGGGCCGTGGAGGGATCTGTTCTGACAGGGTCTACTCCCAGGGTAAGTAGGAGGTGGGGCTGCGTGCTCTTGGGGCAGAGGGTTAGTCACGTGCCTCGGGGAGAAGTTTGGGACACCCCTGGGTTGAAGATGAGCAGGCTAACACAAGGAAGGAATGTGGAAACTTTGGACCCCTTGAGATTGTGGACCGTAAGTGCGAGGTGTATTAGTGTGTAGTTTTCCTCCAGCTGGTTGGATCCAGGAGAATGCGGGCTCCACAGCCACAGGTGAGGCGGTTGATGCTGGGAAGAGGTCAGTTGAGGAGACCAAGCTATAGGTCCAGCTACAGAGGGAATCAAGTAAGGCCAGGAGCCAGGAAGGAGCGAGGGCTGATAACGTGAGCGAAAATGAAGGGATGCGGTACTTTAATACAGAGGGCCCCACCTCAGGTTTGTGGTCCCCAATTTCAAGTGGAGTCTAGAGTTTCTACATCCCCTCCTTCTGCTAGCTTCCTTTGAATCCAACCCGGGTCGTCCCAGACGTCTGTCTCAGCCACACCATTGGCCTCTGGCCACCGCGGGCAAGTGGAGGAGGCCAGGAACTGAAAGTGGGAATGTGGTCGAAGGATAGTTCTGATTCTGTGGGAGTTAGGGAAAGCTGGAGGAGCAAGAAGTTGTGTGCAAACAGTGGGAGGTTGTAGCTGTGGGAGAGGTTGGCTGAGGTCCGGTGGAAGAGGGGAGGCCGTTGGAGAAGAGGAGGCAAGGAGACCGAGGGGTGGGGTGTGCCACCTCTCGCTGGCGCTGAGTCCCGGTGTCTGCATGGGCGTCCCTGGGTGACAGTGACAGGGAGCCCAGAGGGTAGCAGAGACAGATGGCATGAGTGTCAGAGGAGGAACGAGGATGCAGAGCCGGCCTTTCCTCCTAGGCTGGGCCTCCTCTTGACAGCACTTGACCTCACAACCGCCTCTTGGGATTTCCATTTTCAAGTTGCCCATCCCAACAGCAGATGGTGGTGAGCTCTCCATCTCCAGGAAAACTGGTTACGCACCAGAAAGTGTTTCTCCGAAGATGCACCTCCCTGGCAGCTGACAGTGAGCCGGGCCCTCCTCCAGGGGGCCCAGCATGAGCCTCTCTGGTGCCCCTGTGTGGATGGCCCTGGTCCTCCTGGAGGTGATGCCTGTCCTGCCCCGCACGCGAGGAGAAGCCAGAGACCCTCCAATCACCCTGAGCAGTTCAGAGCATCTTAACAACCCCCTGGGTTGACATGTGACAGAGTTCCAGGATTTCTTCCTGTGCTGGCAGCTGGGGACAGTGACATCTTGAATATTGTTTCATAGCTGGGGCACCTGACATCCCAGAGCTGTCATCAACAGAGTCAGAGATACACACCGTGCTCTTCACGTGACTTACATACGTGTCTGTACACATGCATGTGCAAGTGTGTGATATCTCGTTAAAACAGCAACGGAAACATGACTAAGACAAATATTTTCTGTGTTAGGAACAAGCGAGTATTCACTCCCAAACCTTTAATTCTTGTCGCTGTGTGTCGCCATCCTGATTTTCGCCGTGTTTCGATCATTCTGCGCCGTCTTGGAAAAGACCCACAAGAACTTGCAAGGAGCTCCCACGTCTCTGAGTGTGAACTCAGCTGCAGTGCGTGGGTGTCCTTAAGCTTGCAATCGCAAGCCCTGTTGATGGGGTTTATCACTTTCTCCCACCCTTCGATGGGCGGCTCTATGTGACCTTCCTGAGGTCCCATCGTCACGTCATTGGGACTCTCACCTGTTCCCTGGTGCTGTTGGGTGCTACAGATAGCACCCAGCGGCACCAGTCCACGGTTCTCCCTTATGTTTTGCAGGGTTTAGCCAGTCAACCTCTAACATTTTGTAAAAGTAAAGCTGCCACAGAACTGGCCTTTTGTTTTTCATCACGTCCAATTTGATTTTGTGTGATATTTCCTCTTGATTTTGTGTGATATTTATGCTTGGGTGCATTTTTTTCTGGCTTCCTAGGTTGTGATTATGTTCTAGTTTTCGTCTTTCCATCTGAACTTCCCTCCCTCTTTTGTTCATAGGTGGGATGATCAGACCTCTGTTGATAAGGGGAAATGTGCAAGGTGGCTGTGTCCTGCAGAGGGTCTTTCCAGGCAGAAAGAGAAGAGGGCTGTCGTTTCCCAAAATTCTTGGTCAGTGCATCTTAGTCTGGGGAGCTGGGCATTTTGTTTCTAGGTGGGAAGATGCTCTAGGTACTTCTGATGCACAGAGGATGCCCAGGAGGGAGCAAGGATCCCTCTTTTTTGTTCGACCTCGTCTTAGCAGTCACGTGTGGGACACCCCGGATGCCCTTGCAAGGTCTCTTTAAGGCAGAATTTCAGCTGAGCCCTTCTGACACTGTGGAGTAAAGTCCCAAGATGAGCAATGCCAGCAGTTCCAGTTTCTTCCCCCCTGCCTCTTAGGAACCAGAGAAGCATTACAGAGAAGTTGGGTAGACCTTGGCACAGGCTAGCCTTGAGCGTTCAAATCCCTAAGGAGTTTAGTTTTAGATGGGTCTCTTCCTACCTTCTGACTGCCCCCTCACCGGTCAGCTCTTGGAGGAAAACCCGTGGTAGGGTGAGAAGGGATGGACGCTTCTCGTGCATGAGAAGTCCTGCAGACCTTGATCGAGTCAGGAGCTGCAGACGGAAAGCCTCGTCCATCTGTGCAGTCATCTAGGGTGTGTCCAGTTTGGTGAGTTGTCTGAGAGTGGACGTTATCCCTGTGTGAGCTCTGGAAAGGAAGGACCTCGAGGTGAGCAGCCTTCCTTTCGGATGCCATCGGGGAGAGGAGCAGAGCCTGAGGGCGTGAGGGTGGCGGCCCGGTGGAGCGCATCCACGTGGAGGGGCAGGCGTCCACTGTCTCAGGCAGGGCTGTCCTTGAGGCCACAGTGGTTGGTCAGGAGGTGGCACTGGAAGCCGAGGTGTCATGGACAAGTGTGGCCTTGGTCCCGTCTGTAGCACGGCTGCCATGCAAACGGTCCCTGTGTGACCCGAGTCGCTGTTCTGCTGGCCTTGAGATGGGACTGTGGCTTCCCAGGTTTGGAGCCTAACCCTGTGGGCGCCCAGGCTGGAGACTGGCCTGGCCGTGTCCGTGACGGTGACGACGTCGGCCCACCTGCCGCCTCTGGGTGCTCACAGCTGGTCACAGCGACGTGAGCAAGGAGAGGCAATGGGAGGGACACAGGTGTGCCCCGCACCTCCTCTCAGCTGGGGCTGCCAGGGGCTTGTAGGGTCTCGGGGCCCTCAGCTTCCTGGAGATTCTCTCTCACAGCATCCTCTCCTGACCCCATGGAGGACAGGGCTCTGTCCTCGCCTGCCCGCTTTCTGTTGCCTTGCTGGTCTGTGAGTCATCTGTCCCCCCCCGGCCCCCAGCCCAGCACCCAGACCCACCCTGCATCCCAGGCATCTCAGGTCTCCAGTGATGGGGAGACCACAGCCCCAGTCTGCCCCATGCTGGGTCCATGGTCCCCTTCCTGCTGGATGTGGGAGACATAGCTGCCATCCTCAGAGTTTAAGGGCGGTCTTTACTGAGATTTTGCAAAACTCTCCTTTTTTGTGTTTTAATCGAGATGGATTTGTACCTCATCCTCCGATTAAACTAAACTTAGCAGGTCCCCCTTTGGAGCAGAGTTGGAAAAGAAACCCAAGTCAGTGTGAAGTCATGCCTCCTCTTTCTTGCTCTTGATATCCACAGCCGTGTCCCTGGGGCCAAGCTCTGGGTCCTCCTGGGCCAGCGGAGGTGTCTTTGAAGCCGACAGCTCTGCCTGCATCCCCAGGAATCATTGCTCCTGCACCCATGTTTATAGGGCTCGTTCCTTTAGTGATGTTACTCGACCCCCAGTAAGCACGTGCGGCACGCACAGCTCGATGCCGAGTTCACAGGCTCGCTCCCAGCAGACCCCAAATCGCCCCCCGCCCTGTGGAGGCCATGGCCTTGGCCCAGCAGGTGTGGTCCTGGAGGTGTCCTTCTGCTGTCGCAAGATGGCCTTTTTCCTCTCCCTCGCCTCCATGAAGTCTTTACAGTGGAACTATACATTCTTGTATGTTTTAATGAATCCAGTAGCTGTGCTCGCCTGTTTATCAAATGTCGTTGCCGGGTAACTGACAGCTGTAAGTCATTGTGCCATTCTGCTGGTAACTCTTTCAGTCTTAGTTCATGAAATGGTTGGGGCGTTTTCTAGACTCGTCAGTGACCACAGTCGGTTTTTAAACAGTCGCCCTAATGTCTTCCTCACCCACCTCGTCTCACGAATTGGGTTTATCGAGCACGGTCCTAACATTGCTTTAGATCTCTAAGAACTTCACGAAGAACGTTCTCCGCACCGCCCCCCCCCCGCAAATGTTTATAAAGGGAGACGGTCTATGAGGATCGGATACAAGCTCTTTGGGAAAACGTGTCAGAAGCAGGTGCGCCCTGGTCCTGCGTGGAGCTGTCGCCGTGGTAACCAGCTGTGGGTGTGGCCTCGGCTCCTCAGGGGTGTGGGGGCACCCCTGAAGGATGGATGGGAAGGTGTGCATTTCTGCAGATATCAGTCTGGCCACAGCATGCAGACCGGCCTGGAGGGAGACGAGACTGGAGAAAGGCCCCTGGGGAGGCTGTTGGTGACCAGCTGGAAGGTGGCGCCAGCCGCTGTGGGCAGTGGGCATGGAGAAGGTGGAGGATAATCAGGGGATTCACGAGATTTGATGCAGACAGCATTTGGGGGGAAGAAGCAATTTGGTGCATGCTGAATTGAAGACAAGTAGGTGTGGACAGCACATTCCTGTGATGCCAAGAGGTCAAGTAACTGAGCGTCTGTTGGGATAAGTGGGGACAAGTGGGTCCTGACTCGGGACATTGGAAGTTAGACTCCAGGTGGCATGAATGAGGTGGCCTTCGGGAGTTGCTGTGAGCAGGAGATGGGAGGAAAGCGTGTCCAGGAGCCCCTGGCAGGAGTGTGCAGCGTGTGGGGTGGACACCCCGCGTCCTGCATCGTGAATATCCCGTCCGTGAGTGGCCAGTGTTCCTGCCTCATATCTTACCCCCACCGCAGCCCCAGGCAGCGCTCTCTGCACACGCCTCCCTCCCTCTCTGCCTTGATGCCTTGCGAGCGGGCAAGGTGGGGGAAGGCGCCTGGCAGGCTCCCCCAGGCCTTCCCCCAGGTGCCCATGGGCCGGCACCTGCACAGCATCCTGTGACAGGCTCCTGACAGAGGGCATGGGTGGAGGGATGTTGATGAAGACCCAGTTCTGGGTGGGCTGCCATGGCTTCTTCTCTGCTTTGGAATCATGGAGAGAGAGAAGAACAACTCACTGGAGCACGCAGGAATCCCCTGACTAAACTTTCCCCTCTCTCTCTGTGAGTGCCCCCACCCCTTCTCCTCTGGGGACCTTTTTTCTCCCCACAAAGCCCTGCCCGGGAGGGCCATTCCTCCTAAACCACGGGCATCCTTCCCTGCCCGGGGGTGTCCTGGCCCCGTGGAGCGAGCCCACTCTCCTGCCTCTGGAAGTTCCCACCATCTGTCCATCTGCCAGCTCCAAAGGGCTCCCACTTTAGGGTGAGGAGAGCACCAGGGCAGAATCCCCTCGCTGGCCTCAGCCTGTCTTTCCTTCTCCCTCCCAGCAAGGCTCGCCCTCCTCGGAACCTCTCTCAGGAGCCAGCCACAGGGGCGTGGAAGATCCAGGCCCTGTCCACAGCCTGGCCTCCATGGCAGCTTTCTCTCTGTCAACTCTGTCCCCACTTCTCAGGCTCATGGTCCCAATGCCAGGCCTTTCTTTGATCCTGCTGGTCGTGGTCCCAGAGCACACCTCCGTCACTGCTGCTGGCCTGGCCCAGCTCCCTCCCAGCTCCTCCCCTGCCTTTCCAGCCCTGTCCCCCCAGGACCACCTTCTCCTCCTCTCTCGCTGTCTCCTGTGGTTTTTACTTTCCTTTTGGGGCATTTCATCATATTCTGCCTTCATTTCCACTATACAAACTGATGTTTTATCTTCCTAGTTAACTCCCCATGCTTGCTCATTGGAGCCAACTTTCCTTGTCTCTCTGTGCCGGCGAACCCCTCGCAGAGCCCGACTCAGTGGTCTTAGCGTAGGAGGTGCTCGCTGGGCCCCCAGGGCAGCTTCCCGAGGTGCGTGTTCACATGTGACTTCCACATGATTCATCGTGTCAGTCTGTCCCCAGCCCAGGCGTGTGGGGTGTCAGCCCAATTAATCCCTGCAGGGTCGAGGGGCAGCCTGGCCTGAGGTTGTCCCTTTCTTGCTGTTGGTGTCATTCTCATACTTGGAGCCCCAGAGAAACCCTAAATCCTACAACAGACCTGTGGGCTATTTGTAGACAGTTCTTTTATCCCAAGAAACAGTTTGGTCTTAGTGTCGCTGAACTGAGTCCACTGTCACTCTCTTTCAAGCCTAAGGTAACCATCCCGAGATGGAAACATTCTATTGTCCCTTCTGCTAGTTTGTCACCTTCACATGTCACAGACATTAACCTCAGTGAGTCCTCACAGTGCTTTTTATTAATTGGCATTTGTTTCATGAGCCAGAGATGCACCTGTTGTGTTATTGCGCTGGAGAAAATGTGTTGGGTGTCGAAGAAAGGCTTGTTCACAGCTTTACGTAAAGCAAATCTGTGGCATTGCTGTCTACTTAGCAACACAGGGAACGGCAAGTCTATACTGTAGGGTCAGAGTAAGCCACACGCCCATCAGACAGTAGCCACCTTCAGTGTGCGTGTGTGCGTGTGTGTGGACACACCCACCGTGTGCGGACTCGTGGGTGCACCCGGAAAGCCTGTTGCGTTGACTTTAGACGGCTGAAGGATGATGTCATAATTCTTTGTGCTTGTTGAAAAGTGCTCAGGTTCACGGGAACAGTTAGAAGATTTTAGGGCGGCTTTAGGGATAAGACTGAGCCATCTGCTCCCCGCACACAGACACGAAAGCTCGCTGAGGATTCCCAGCAAAAAACGCCGGGTAGCGGCCGACCCAGAAGCCTCCATTGCTTCTTTGGGGCCTGTTTCTTGGTCGCTTGGTGTCAAGGGCAGGTGGTTTTATCCTGTTAGACGGTAAACCCCGGTCTGATGTTTCTCTCTCCCGCCCCCCACCCCCGATCTCGTGCTTTCGGGAAGAGAGAATCACAGTGAGATCGAACGGCGCCGGCGGAACAAGATGACACAGTACATCACGGAGCTCTCCGATATGGTCCCCACGTGCAGTGCGCTGGCCCGAAAGCCGGACAAGCTCACCATCCTCCGCATGGCCGTGTCACACATGAAGTCCATGAGGGGCACAGGGAACAAGTCCACGGACGGCGCCTACAAGCCTTCCTTCCTAACGGAGCAGGTACCTGTTCCTCACTCGTCTGTGGTCCTTTCTCCCCTGATCGTGTCATTCTTGGAAGGGAGAAAAGAACAGCATCTCCAAGATGAGATGAGCGATGGGGCGCGGGGTTCCAGGTGGAGGAAGGGACGAAATCAAGAAGTTTTCTTTCCCCTCTTCCCCAGGAAACTCTCTTCAAGGGGGCGTTTGTCCCACCTTTGCATCCTTGCTTTTGTATTTCCCGTACATCTTAATAAGGCATCACTCAAAAAATATGCTCTGAACAAGGTGAATCTGAACAGTGTGCTTCCGTGCTGACACAGGAAAGAGTCGGTGGAAAACACCGCTCTTGTGTGCTGGAATGGCAGTTGCGATTGTCATCTCGGAAATGGTAGTGGCAGTTGTAGCAATAACAGAGACAAGGGTCATGATAACCAGCACTTCACAGCCTTTGCTGTGTGTCTGGGCGGAGTCATATCCTTTCATGCGGTATTTCGCCCGCTCCTTATTCTGTTATTCATCCCTGCTTTGTCAGTGAGGAAGTTGAGGCTTTGAAAGTGTCAGCAATTCACCCAGTCAGCCACTGCTTCGTAGGGGAGCCAGGAGTTAAACACAGGAAGTGGAACAGTGGGACACAGCCAGGTTTGTTGGACCACAGATCCATATTTTTACCAGCTGCGCTAGTCTTTGGAGAGTTGGTTAGTGTTTCATAAATTTTTACGTGAGCCCAAAGGCCCGTGTTATGAGTTCTTGTTCTTCCACGTGCTGGTCGTAGGGCCGATCAGCAAATGCTCCAAGCTTCAGCTGGCTCCTCTCTGAAACGAACATGAGCTTTTTGCCTTCCTGACTCTGAGGGCTTCTGCAAAACAGATGAGATGATGGATTTGATGGCACTTTGTCTGGTGAGGCAGGCTGAGGGAGGAGAGTGATGTGGCTGTCAGGCGATGCAGCTGGGGAGTGGAAAGTGTGTAATGTGTTGGGTCCTCAAGGTGATGGAGTGTTTTACGAGGCACGGAGAGTGTAGCCAAAACGAAAGGGAGCAGGAGTGGCCTGGTGTGGTCGGGGACTTCGCAGAGAGAAACAGCCCTGGCAGTCTGCGAAGGAGCCCCAGAACATGCCCAGAAAGGGGAGATGCAACCTGAAAGTAGTGAGCGAGCCTCAGAGGCAGGAGTGAGGAAGGCCTGTCGAGAGGCAGAACCGTCTATTCCGCTGGAGCTGGCAGTCTGCTCGTGTCAGGGAAGCTAGGCCCAGAAAAAGAACGAGGAAAGAGGAGCTAGCCTTTATTACCGCCTGTTGTGGGGCAGACATTTCAGAAGGACTTGACCTACTCCATCCGCATTCTAACCATCCCAGTGGCCACGTGGGACCTCAGCCCGCAGGTGTAAGGAAGAGGCTGTGGGGCCACCATCGCTGGGCCGACATGGGGTGTGTGGTTCAGGACACAGGTGCCACCTCATTTCCACCTCTCTAGAAAGGAGCCCAGTGGTGTCTCCCACTTTGTGTGAATGTGGTGTTGCATGAGGAAGGCAGTGGAGCAGAATGTGTCCCATGGGGCTGGGAGGGTAATTAGGGATGGATGGCTGTAGGTCACCAGACAGAAATGTAGCAAGCACCCCCTCACTGCTAGGGTCAGTGAAAACCTTTTTATCTACATTTCTTTAATCCTTACAGAAATCCTGCTGGGTCAGAATTTGAAATTAATCTCTTTATGCTTAAGGGGCTAAGGATTAAGAAAGTGGAGTAAAGAGAGAAGACAGTGGTGCACGCATACGAGTCCTCTCCATTTTTCCCTTTTGGGTCCCTGTTGTTGAAGATAACAACAAATAACAACAACTGTGTTGGTTGAGTGCCTACTGTGTGCCAGGCCCTCACTAAGTCCTTCACACACAGGATCTCATTTAACCTTGCAAAATCTCGCTGAAAAAAACCACGTGGAAAAAGGGAAGCTGAGGATGCTTGTAACATGCCCAAAGTTGCACAGCGAAGTGAAAGGGCCGTGGGTGGTGGTCTCCTTTTACTCCCAAACCTGAGCTCTTGAGTCTTCCCATTGGTTTAACTGGAGAGCGAAGGCATGGCTGGTTCTGGCTCGAGGCCACAGGACCTTCGTCACGAGTGACGTGCTTCGGGAAGACAGACACTGGGGAGGAGGGTGGTGGAAAGAGAGGTCCATGATGAGGGTGTGGCTGTCCCATTAGAACTTCCCACAGCCCTTGCAGACTGGATGAAACCATGAAAACCTGGAGGAAGTCACTCAGCCCAAGCTTCCTCTCCTCCGGTGACAGAGACTTCACTACTTTCCCACATCCTGTTCCATTTTTCACAACCCTTCCTGTTGGGAAGGGCTTCCCAATACTGGAAATAAAACTGCTGACCCGATCCTCTGCCCCGAGTGAGCGTCAGGAGAGACGGGGCTGCAGAAACGCCAAGCCAGGGAAGAGGACAAAATAAACTTCTCCTTAAACGATGCTTGTAGGGTTCGCTTCTGCCCTGGGTTCCCAGGCAGAGGATGTTAGGACTCCGACCCAGCCAAGGGCTCAGAGACCCCATACCCTCTCCAGGTTCTGCTTACAAGCAGGTCCACGTTTCCTAGTCTCTTGGAGCCCCCTCGGGACTGGCACTTAGGGCCTGGCCAGATGCTCCAGACTCCCTACCTTTTGCCTCCATGCCGCTGGCCCTCTGTCTGTGTTACACTGGAGCTTCCATGTAAGAGTGCATTTGAATAACGGATTCTCAGCAGAAAGTGTTTGCCGACCGCTGACCCAGAAGGATCCCTTTGTTCTGTGGGGCCTGAGCAGCATGTGAGGTGGTTGGAGAGGGGGTTGTGGACCCCAAGGCATGTGGGAGACATGGTTCCTCAACTCCTGTGGCAGCGGAGCCCATTTCATTCAGCTTGATGCGAGGATGACATGAGCCTGGTGACTCAGCGTGACCCCAGGGCTGGTGCAGCTAGCCTGTCTTCTTCCCTAAAGTGACATGGACGGTGCCATATGCCTTGTGGCCCCTGGGATTACTCTGAGTCTGTGGAGATGTTGGTTGTCCAGGAGCCCTGGATGTTTGACAGATGTGCAGATGTAGGTGATACTCGTATATCTTCTGCCGGTATCCAGCCCAGAAAGTACAGGAAGAGAAGAGGAACAAGAGTGTGCTGGCAGTGTGGCACATGGTGGGAGAGGAGACCCAGCGTCCCTTTCCTTCTTTCTTCTCACCTTCCCCTTCTCCTTCCCTTCCTTCCATGAGCATCTTTTGCACCAGGCCCTTCTGCTCTGATGACATGACTGCAGTTTGAAGGCGTTAGTGAGGCCATTCACACCTCTGGCAACCCTGCACCTTCTGATGATCACTCCTTGCTCTCCTGTTCCCCTGGGCTGGAAATTTCCTCTCTCCCTAAGAGAGGGCTCGTCCAGATACTGAGTTTACTGTAGCTGTATCTTAGGGCTAGTACCAACTTTGTGCACTTTTTAGCTCATTTTCCAGTAAAAACAAAAAAAAAGCAGTCAATCTTTCCAAAACTATTTGTGTATCACAGTGAATGTCTGGATAAAAGTTGAAGTTTGCAGGGCTGGCCCCATGGCCGAGTGGTTAAGTTCGTGTGCTCTGCTGCAGGCGGCCCGGTGTTTCATCAGTTCGAATCCTGGGTACGGACATGGCACTGCTCATCAAGCCACGCTGAGGCAGCGTCCTACATACCACAACTAGAAGGACCCACAGTGAAGAATATACAGCTATGTACCTAGGGGCTTTGGGGAGAAAAAGGAAAAAAATAAATCTTTAAAAAAAAAAAAAAACGTTGAAGGTTGCTAATAAGAAGACTTAATTAGCCTGGGTTTGTCCTAACCACTGTCTTTTCTTCCCAGGAACTGAAGCACCTCATCCTTGAAGCGGCCGATGGATTTCTGTTCGTCGTGGCGGCCGAGACGGGGCGAGTGATTTATGTGTCTGACTCTGTCACCCCCGTTCTGAACCAGCCACAGTCAGAGTGGTTTGGGAGCACCCTCTACGAACAGGTGCATCCCGATGACGTGGAGAAGCTGAGAGAGCAGCTGTGCACCTCGGAAAATTCGATGACAGGTCAGTGTAGCCCCCTCTACGAGGCTGTCTGACCCTAGAGAAAAACTTCTTTCAGGAAACAGATCAAGCAGCTGGAGGTCAGAAAGAGCTGCCTAAAGATAAGGGATATATTTGACTTTAGCCTATGTAACAGCTTCATTTACCCTGTAACATTTTAAAAGTTCATTTTTAATGCATCACTTTTTTCTATATTTTACTTGCAATTAGGGGACATGGCCACTAGGAGGCATTGTTGATACACTACCCTGAGCCACGTGTTCTGTAATGAGGTTTATGCCTCTGGTGTGGGGTTACTTGTGGTCCTGATCACAGGCATTTATTGCCTAGGCCCTAGTTACCTGATATGAAGTTCCTTATTCAAACATTTAAATACAGTCAGTTCTGCTGTGACGCAACGTACATTTTCCTAAAAATCACTGCAGTGTACAAAATCGTGAAATAAAATCCACAGGGTTTAAGGGGGAAAAAGTGAGCTAGGAGCACAACACTCAAAAATTTGTCAGTGACAGGTAAAATCAAAAGTAAGAACCTAGTAAAAATGGGAGCACACCCTTACACAGTAAATGGTTAAGGAATTCATAAATATTACCATCAATATGGCACTTGACCTTGCACCCGACTTTGAAGTTTGCTTGTGGAAATGGGCCTCAGAAGGGTGGCCACTTGTGTGTTATAGTCAGTGGTGCAAGGACAGTCATGTGACATTAGACAGAAATGAAAAGAAAGTTGAACACCAGCATGGATGGTGTGGCTCGTAACACTCACGGTAAACTGTGGGAGCTGGTAGGTGCCTGGTGCACATTTTGTATATTTCTCTGTGGCTCAGTTCACCAGGTGCGGTTTGCTGTGTTTGTCTGGTATTCCTTGACGAGGAAATCATGCATAAGCAAACACAAAATTCACATTATCCTCAAATTGTTCCCCAATATATCGATCACATTGGACCAAATTTGCATCTTCAAAACAAGGGTTATAGCAGAATGACTATATGTAATATTTGCATCCCACTGTATGATGGATACATTTGTGCTGTGTACTTCTCCCCACCAAATTGCAAGCTGGTGGCTCTCCTTTACTCTGCGTCTGCCTACAGGCCTCACTGGGTGCTCTGCACATAGTAGGCATTCAGCAGATGGCTGGTCAGAGCTTGGCTCATCATATTGGTGTGCTGGGGCTGCCATAAAAAAGCACCACAGACTGGGGGGCTAAAGCAAGAGAAAGCACAGTTTGGGAGGCCAGAAGTCCCAGATCAGGTGTGGCCAGGGCTGGTTCCTCCTGAGGCCTCTCTCCTTGGCTTGCAGACGGCCGCCTGCTCTCTGTGTCCTCATGTGGTCTTTCCTCTGCGTACACATCCCCGATGCCTCTCTGTTCCTATAAGGACACCAGTCCTATTAGAGTAGGGCTCAACTCTGATGACTTCATTTAACTTTCATCACCTCCTTAAAGGTCCCATCCCCAAACACAGTCACATTTTGAGGTCCTGGGGGTTAAGGCTTCAACTGATGAATTCTGGGGGGGATGCAATCCAGCCTATAAGAGTCATGGTGTTGTCAAAAGTGACAGCTGTTTCTGAACGAGAACAGCAATTTTCTCAGTGTTGGTCCTCATGATGCGTGAAAGGGAGGAAGAAGATAGAGAATGAAGGTGGGAGGACAGGGTCTGCGTGGTGTTCGTCTCTGTGCCTCCTGGGATGACTCGTGACCTGGCTGTGAGCTCTATGTACTTGTAAAACGATGAGGCTGAAACAGACTCAGAGAAAGATGTGCTCGGCCACTCAGCGCCCTGGGCCGAACTAGAGAACTCCATATAGAAAACCTAAGGAACACACCTCATAAAGTCACGCAAACGGGAGGGATGTGAAAGGGAAGATAAATCAGCTGGGAAGTGTTGGTTTGACAGCTGAAGTCATTTTTCTGGAAAGAGTTGCCTTTCCCCAGAATTCTGTATTTGGACCACAGGATGTGGCTTTTTGAAACCCAGTCTGGAGACCCAGCTGAGGCAGATGGTCAAGGGTGGGTCTGGCTCACCAGAGTTGGGTGGACATTTCTGTCTGTGGGAAGTCTTAATGTGTCTGGCAGAGTCTAAAGGGGCAGCATGGACCACATTTGAACAGGAATGTCCGCGGGGTGGACACTGGGTGGTGGCTCCCGCAGCTGGAGCTCGTGTAGTGGAGGGAGCCCGTCCGTCAAGGTGCTGGGGACGACCCAGTGACCGGGGAACAGCCAGGCCTCCTGGCCGGCTCCTCTTATGGGAACAAAGTGGGGATGGAGAAGGGGGTCCTTCTCCTTGGGGTGGTAGAGAAGACCCTCTCGGAGCCAGAGTGTGATGTGAGTCTCCCAGGACGTACAACAGAAAAGCTCATTGATCGGTGGGGGAGCTTGGAGGTGCTCACTCAGCAGGTCTTCTGCTTGGACGGGCCTCAGGGTGTCCTGGCCCTGGGCACAGGGCAGGAGCGGGGCTTTGTCCAAAACCAGCCAAAGTGTACATGTGATAAAAACCCTCAGGGATGATTTGATGCCTTTGATTATTGGACTGGGGCCTCCTCTAGACCCTCGGCGTGTTTGGTTTCAGGCCTGGAAAGAGGCGACATGGTCCACTTGGTGGGGAGTCAGTGTGGGAGGATGTGGCGCAGGGAGCCAGGCGAGGCCTGTGGGAATGGGGGCGGTCTAACTAGGGGGGCCTGGCCCACTCGGCCTGGGGAGTGTCCCTTCTTTGAGCCTCTCAGTGGGACTTTCAGCCGTGGGACTTGCAGAGTGGCCTGCACTCGACCGGTGGGGTGGTACGTGTGCTGGTGGGAGACACCTGACCACAGGGCCTGCAGACCCTGTGCTGGCTGAGGATCCCAGGAAAGCACGGCTCGCACATGGTTGCAGTAACAGAGTTTGGTGACAACGGGGTTCGTCTTTGGGGGATTTATTGAGGTGGAGAGACAGTGGGTGGAGACTTCGCTTAGCAACAGCGACACTGCTGGTGGAGAAAGTGCCGGAAAGGGGGTGGGGAGGCCCCGTTCTGGTCTCCACTTGGCCATCTTGGCAAGTTCCTTTCTTCTCTGCCCGTTGTTCTCCTCATCGCAGCCCAGGAAATCTCTTGGGACTGTTAGACTCTGATTCTACTCTTTTGCTCAAGGCCCCCGTGTAGAATTTAATCCACTGCTTTTAGCAGTGGTGGGAGGTCAGAGGAGAGGTCCTCTGGCTCGGGGCCATGCGCCTGAGCCCCGTTCCCATGAGCCCCCTGTTGTCATTGGCACCACTTGTGGGCAGGGAACAGCATTGGCCCTGGAAATTCAAGGGCTGTGCAGAGCACGTTCGTTCTCCAGGACTCGACTTGGCAGGGGGCGAGGAGGACGCAGCTGAGGTGTTCTTATGATGGCTCCCAAGAACCCCACTCCTTTCGAGACGGATTTTGGCAGGAGGGTGAACGGGCTGTGTCATCTCAGGCTGAGTAATTCTGCATGTGAACCTGGAAAACGTCTCCACAGACAAGCCCCGGGGAGGCCTAACTTTCCCTTTGAATGGGGTGATCAGGATGTGGAAGACTCTGGAGATTCTGGAGGGCTATCGTCTCGGGGTCAGTTAGAGGGAACAGGTACCTTCCTCTCAGAGACCACCATGCTACAAGAGGGGCTGTGGAATCAGTCAGGGCTCCAGTGACAGAAAACCTACTTCAACTGGCTTGAGTGAAAAAGGAAATTCATTGGCTCCTGTAACTGAAAGGAGTTTACTGGCTTCAGGCACAGAAGGATCCAGGTGATGAAAGTTGCTAACCAAAGTACAGTCAATCCTCATTATTTGCAGATTCGGTCTTTGTGAGTTTGCCTACCAGCAAAATTTATTTGTAACCCCAAAACCAGAACTTGGGGAACTTTCTTGGTCATTTGTGGACATGCGCAGGGTGGCAAAAAATCTGAGTCACTCAATGCACGCATTCCAGCTGAGGTCAAACAAGACGGCCTCCTGCCTTCTAGTTTCAGCCTTGTAACTATCGACAGTGTCCTCCTTGCAGGGTATTTTGTGCCGTGTTTTCTGTGCTTTCGTACTTTTTGTTGCTGTTTACAATGATCCCCAGTGTAGCGCGGAAGTGCCATCCGGCATCCTGCAGTGTGAGGTGCGCTGTGTTGTCGCAGAGGACGTGTGTTGGATGAGCTTCCTTCGGCACGAGTCCAGGGCTGCGACTGAGTCCAGCGTTAATGAATCCACAATAGATGGTGCATGGGCTGTCTTCACACAGAGACACATAGAAGACGGGGTTATGTGGACATTGGCTGACGAAAACGTGGTCACCAGAGCTGGTCTTGCCCCCGTGCTCCCCTTAGGAGTGATGGCTCGGTGTTTCCATGTGTTCTTTTGTGGCTTTTTTCTTTTTCTCTTCTTTCTTTCTTTTTTTTTTTTTTTTTTTTTTTTTGCAGTAAGAACACTGACCACGAGATCTATCCCCTTAACGTATTTTGAAGTGCACAATACTATATTGTTAACTCGAGGCCGGTGCTGTACTGCAGATCTCTAGAACTTGTTGATTTGCACAACTGAAACTCTCTACCCGTTGAACACCCGCTCCCCGCTTTCCCCTCCTCCAGCCCCTGGCCACCGCCGTCTGCTCTCTGCTTCTCTGAGTTTCACTACCTCATCTACATGGAATCGTGCAACATTTGTCCTCGTGTGACAGGCCTGTCCTCTAGGTTCATCATAATGTCATCTCAGTTCATCCATATTGTCACAAATGAGAGAACTGGCTTGTCTTTAAAGGCTGCATAATCCTGCATCGTGTGTATCTACCACATTTTCCTTATCCGCTCATCTGTCCGTGGGCACGTGGGTTGCTTCTGTAGCTTGGCCGTTGTGATTAATGCCGCAGTGAACGTGGGAGTGCAGATGTCTCTTGAGATCCTGCTTCTGCTCCTTCGGGTTACACTATACCCAGAGTGGGGTTGCTTCTGGGCAGGGCTGGTCCTCAGGCAGGCTCTCCTCGCATGACGAGAGGTGGTCACCAGCAGCTCTGAGCTG